CCATAATAGAACAAGACAGTTGTTCAGTACTTCCTAGTTTTCAATTGTGCTCTAGCTATGATCAGTTTATGGTATATACGACGAAAACTCTACAATCTCAACAAAACCATAAACTATTAATAATCGTGTGTTCATCAGTGACTAGTCTCGAAATGTAAATCCTATCCCCCATATGCCCTGGTACGGCCGACGGTGGGGAGAGTTAGCGATCCCAATCCAAATGCTCTCACATGGCCACTCGTATAGAGCCACTGCCACGCAAGTCCTACTCACTGCCTACTCACGAAGTAGGTGCTGTTTACGAAATTGAGAAGAGGAAAAGTGAATGTCTGGTAGGAGCCTTAATCAGGTTGATGAACACGGAGAGTCTACCTAGTGGAGTTGGAAAACCCTCATTCTAAACTAATGGTGTACATGTACTCCAGTACCCTGAAGGAACAAATGGTGTATGAACCAATTGTTGGTCACCGAATATCATGGTATTTAATCTATTAAAGGTGGTACACTAACTTGCGGATCAGACTTTTATGTCTAAGGCTCCGGGTGTGGTCGCCTAAGAAAACCATCTTCTTCGGTTTGGGCACCCGATCAGTATCCCAGCCTACACACACATCAACTGAGTTGTGTGGTGCATATGTATTCCGTGCCCCTTTGTAACAATATCTTTATGTTCAAATATGTAAATAAATAAACTCCCGGTGTTACAGTGAGAAACTGTAACCAGCGAAGTTCATTCATGTCACATGTAAAAAAAGTTATCCATCTTACTTAATGGAAGATGATCGCACAGTTTGGTGAATTGACTAAAATTAAACATTAAAACTCTTGAATTTCAGTTAGGTAGTTAACAAATTGGGCAGTTGCATGCTAGATCAAAAGTCTTAGATATAATTCCCTGTGATTAAGGTCATCGATGAGCACTGCTGACTATTCATAAACTATCCAGTTAACCTTTGAAAAAGTTTGAAATTAAATCATAATTTTGTTAGTAGTAAGTATTACACCATAACAATCACGTTACTAAACAGACACCAAAACGTTTCAGCTTACATGACGGACATGATGAATAATTATTAAGAACTAGAAAGTACTAGACTACAGTTTCTTCATATTACGGGACAACCTAACACAAATCCTAAACACATATTCAGTTTGAGGGGATATTTTCTTTATCAAGGAGTTTACATTTTGGACTTTAGTTCGATCACAGTATGATATAACAATCCTTCAGTAATGACTGTTACATTCAGGACATGGTTGTATTCCATCAGTCATTATGTGGTGTGTGCTACTAATGTCGATAGATATAAGTAGTATGTATCAACAATCGAAAGGGAAATGCCTGGAAACAGAAGATTAAGAAGATCAGAGAAAAGAGAACAAGAACAAAGAATGATCGCTGCGGAAGCGAAGAAACAATGAAGTCTGAGACAATTGATTGAGAAGTATTTACTATATGATTCTCAAATTCTAGTAAGAGATTCTGTAATTTTGTATTCACTTACATCTGACTGTCCCCACTTGTGTTCTCATTCAGTACAGTTATAGCCTGAAGTTAATCACTATATAGTACAGGATTAATAATATCTGATATCGTTTTGTTAAGATTTTTCAAAAGGACCAAGAAGTAATCGATAGCTAGTTTAAAACTTGTTAGTAGTATATACCTAAAACCTGACATGGGATCATGCCATCACCTTCCAAGTATCCTAGTAAACATGATAACATTAAATGATTTTCAAATAAAAACGAAGATTCCATCATATTCTGTAAGCGTTGAATTCACGAGTTCATCTAAGTTAGACTACGATTGAAAAACTTGGAACCACTGAACAGTTGTTTCGTCCTAGTATAAGACTCTCAAACAGTACGTATCCAAGATCCCACATGCAAGACTCGAACCCAGGACCTTCGATTTTGTACACTAGTGTGATTCAGAATATATTTTTAATTATGTTTAGGACTAGTTATCATTTGAATATACTTGATCATATTCACATCGAAACTTGAATTCATTGTTCTTTGCTTCAAGAACCAGCAAAAAATAGAGCCTAGAAACACTGGACGACAGTTTCGTCTTGCTGCAGATCTCCTCAGTAGTGCATATTCATGATCCACCTCACGGAATTTCAACCCGGGCCCTTCGGTCTCGCCTAAAACTTAGACTATTGATCCAACACCTAACGGTAATAATGCCTAACTTCAACCAATCCACAAAATTGTGCAACCATCTCCCATTGTACTGAGTTAGATACTTGTCTCTACCTGATACGGATTAGCTCCACTGCTCACAGCTTCGCACTAGAACTCCATGAATTCCATCACGATGCTAGTCACTAATGAGTAAATAGTAATTATCACTATGGAACTAAACGGCTGTCCAGTACTTCCAGGTTCTCAATAATGATCTAAGATCAACCGATTCATGATCTCAATCTTCACAACCTCATAATGAAAAAATAAAAGAAAAAATTTATTGTTCACTTCATCTAAACTATCCCTTCATACTGTTTACTCTTAATTGTTATCATTTCATGATTTCAATGAAAGAGAGAAAAGAAAACTAAAAAAAGAAAGAAACAATGAAACAATAAAAAAAGAAAATCAGCTTTGAAGAAAAAAACTCGGCACACAAAAACCATATTGTTCCTTCTTTCTTTTTTCTTTTTTTACTCTAGAAAAGACAAAACTTTTATTTTTCTCTGATGAATTTGCAAAGAAATTAATTAACTGAAGAGATTCGTACAAACAAAGACGAAATTAGTTTTTTTTTCTTTTCTTTGTTATAAACTATCAAGATACTACTGATGATGATAATAATAATAGTGAAAAAAACACAACTAATTAAGACTAAAACTTAAGGTGGATTACAGTACTACTAATACTACTACTATTATTATTACTATTGAGATGGTGGAGAAGGTTTGTAGTCCAGGTAGACTTCTATCGTTCAGAAGAACGATGAAAGCTCTACGACCAAACTATCCAGTTCAGAGAACAAAACCCCGTCAAAATGTGTGTGTGGGGGGGGTGCAAGAAGGTGCAAACAATTTATTCTCCTCATATGTGTAATTATGTGTCTTATATATATCTGGTTATCTGGTGATTGATCTCGCATTGGTTGTTCATGTATGTGTACATGTGTTTGTGTGTGTCTATGTGTGTGTATGTGTCTATCTCACTATCTACTATTATATATCACATTCATGAAAGCCAATTTTAATTAAATTATTATTCATTTCTTTTTGTTACTAAGCTTCTATTGAAATTTCTTAATTGAATAAGGTGTGTGTGTGTGAGAGAGAGAGAGAGAGAGAGGGAGAGTGTGTGTGTCCTCTTAAAGATGACCAAGACAAAGCAACAAATACAAATGAAAATAGAATAGAGAAGAACAAGAGAAAATAAAAACAAAAAAATTAAGCAAAGATAGATAATGGCTGGTAGTGGAATCCAGTTTGACGCGAGTTTCGTCCCATTTCGAACTCGTCAGTTGGATATACCTGTTTGACTGAGTTTTTTTCACAGTTGGATTCATGAGTCAATGTAAGCTAGACTACCATTGAAAACCTGGAACTGGCCGTTTTGTTTTAGTATAGGACTCCTCAGTAGTGTACATTCACGATTCCGCATGTAGGACTCGGTCTTACGTGTGAATGTTTAATTTCTAGATTAGTGAGTAAATAAGTAAGCAGGCAGTAGTAGTAAATTTTATGAATAAACCAATTAGATGGATCCCTTTATATTTTGCATCGAAATTCATTCATCCATATTGCTACAAAGCGTTCTTACATGATAACTAACATTAGTTTATAATAAAAACCTCAATCGTAAACGGTGAGATTATACTTTATGGGTGAACTAAGCAGATATAAGATAATAGGTCTTGGATTTCGGCGCCAAATCCATCCATACATCTGGCCAAATAGCGTTTTGACGTTGTACATGGCATCAGTTCGTGATGAAAACTCTAGATTGAATCCCTTACCCTAACTGTCAACTGTATATCATAATTCTAGCTCCTCACACTGGTTTATAACCCTCTTTTAGTGCTATTTAGTAGATGGATATTTTCAAGGTCAACTTAGCATTTCTCAATGGTCATCCATGAATTATGGTCTCATCTTTCAAACTTCTAAGCTTAAATCCATCTTGGACTCTCAAAAATGTTCCAGGATTCTTCTAAGAGTTGAACATAATAAACAGTCTATATCGATTAGAACAAACTCATAAGTGATTTTGTTTTTGACAATTTATAGGTTGAGTAATCTGTCGTTGAAGAATCATTTGAATTGATTCTAAACTCTCTCTTATACTTTTACTTATTACAGGCATAATTGTTAACTTACTACATTATTCTTTTGTGGGGCCCGTTATTTAATCGTCATTTAGATCAAACAATGCTGTCGAAAGGGCTCTCCACTTTAGTGGCTCGAGATCGTCGGCGGTGGCAGGCTCACCACTTTTGTGAAGCCCTTTAATTTTGTCGTCGTCTTAGATCGAACGATGTTATCGAAAGGGCTCTCCAATTTAGTGGCCCGTGGATCTGACTCCAAAGAGATTGTAATGATGATTCTTGTTGAAATATATATGTCGCCTATCCTCGTTTATAATCATCGACTTTAATCGCGTTAGTCAGTAACGGATTTAGATAAGTCAAATAACGAGAATGGACTTGTGAATACATATATTCTGTGTATGAAGCGAATAGAATAGAGAGAAGCGGAACGACGCACAGTGGAGATGGTGGGCAAGCCAACTCCGATTTAACCAAGCGTTAATTAATAGTTATAGTTACACAAAAGTAAGTTACAGACATGTGATGAGTAATGGGATAAGAAATGTACAAACACCTATGCGCTCATATAAAAACAGTCAAGATTGATAAGCGAATGTGACTCAAGTAGAATGAATAGAATGGGCTATCCGACTGATCGAATAAGATATATGGGCTTAACATAATAACCAACACTACACTTTTCTTTTTCTTTTTTTCATTTTAGATCCTATCGTCTTTCTCTTTGAACATGATTCAATGTTTGATCTTGTCAAACAAACACACACACACACACACGTACAAATAAAGTAAGTTATCTTAGCTTTCTATTGTAATTCATATGCTTCATCGATTTTATTGATTAATCATCAATCATCATGGTAAATATTATCGATTATAATTGGTAACAATATTATTGATTGATTGAAATTAGAAATATAAACCATCAAATTATAACTTATTAGTCTCAGTCAGTCAGTCAATCAGCTACAACGTAGGACCAAGCACAAATGTGCATCGGTCCACGTTGTTATATTTCATTAGCACAACAAGATGAATACCTGATTCATAGAGGTAGTCACTCCAATGGTAATAATATATAAAAGAAAGACTGAATATAAAGATATAGCACAGGAAGAAAGAAATATATAAAGCAGTTTAAATATCGTAGATTAAAGGAAGACAGCACTCGAGAAACGCCACTCAAGACCACTCAAACTTAATAGTCTAGAAGTTAAGAGTTCTTTGTAAGATCTAAAGTATCTAGAATAACTTGTCTAAGTAAAATTATCTCAAAATGAGAAACAAAACTCACAAAATTCAATACTGTCAGAAACTCTTATTTACTTACTTACTTACTGTTATGGATGCTGAGGAATAATGTGCCAATCATTAGCATGTTAAGTCTAATGATGTCCTTGGACGTTAAATGAACATTCCCTATTGGCCGTTATTTATTTCACTCGTTAAATATTGTACAAATGTTGTTTTCTATTTTTATGGTACGATGTGGTCTGTTTGGTTAGTATATAAGCAGAGTATGTCTGAAATACAATGGTTCATATCTCAGAGGCTGTGACTTGTGTTCTGGATTCAACTGGCTGGGTTAGACAGCGAAGCAGAGCCAATCGGGACTCTAGGTCGTCCTTACGTGTTACTGTGATCGATCGATAAAACGTTGCTTATCAAAACCTGCAGTCCACACGTTACAACACTTACTTACTTACTTACTTACTTACTTACTTACTTACTTACTTACTTACTTACTTACTTACTTACTTCAACACTTACTTACTTACTTACTTACTTACTTACTTACTTACTTACTTACTTACTTACTTACTTACTTACTTACTTACTTACTTACTTACTTACTTACTTACTTACTTACTTACTTACTTACTTACTTACTTACTTACTTACTTACTTACTTACTTACTTACTTACTTACTTACTTACTTACTTACTTACTTACTTACTTACTTACTTACTTACTTACTTACTTACTTACTTACTTACTTACTTACTTACTTACTTACTTACTTACTTACTTACTTACTTACTTACTTACTTACTTACTTACTTACTTACTTACTTACTTACTTACTTACTTACTTACTTACTTACTTACTTACTTACTTACTTACTTACTTACTTACTTACTTACTTACTTACTTACTTACTTACTTACTTACTTACTTACTTACTTACTTACTTACTTACTTACTTACTTACTTACTTACTTACTTACTTACTTACTTACTTACTTACTTACTTACTTACTTACTTACTTACTTACTTACTTACTTACTTACTTACTTACTTACTTACTTACTTACTTACTTACTTACTTACTTACTTACTTACTTACTTACTTACTTACTTACTTACTTACTTACTTACTTACTTACTTACTTACTTACTTACTTACTTACTTACTTACTTACTTACTTACTTACTTACTTACTTACTTACTTACTTACTTACTTACTTACTTACTTACTTACTTACTTACTTACTTACTTACTTACTTACTTACTTACTTACTTACTTACTTACTTACTTACTTACTTACTTACTTACTTACTTACTTACTTACTTACTTACTTACTTACTTACTTACTTACTTACTTACTTACTTACTTACTTACTTACTTACTTACTTACTTACTTACTTACTTACTTACTTACTTACTTACTTACTTACTTACTTACTTACTTACTTACTTACTTACTTACTTACTTACTTACTTACTTACTTACTTACTTACTTACTTACTTACTTACTTACTTACTTACTTACTTACTTACTTACTTACTTACTTACTTACTTACTTACTTACTTACTTACTTACTTACTTACTTACTTACTTACTTACTTACTTACTTACTTACTTACTTACTTACTTACTTACTTACTTACTTACTTACTTACTTACTTACTTACTTACTTACTTACTTACTTACTTACTTACTTACTTACTTACTTACTTACTTACTTACTTACTTACTTACTTACTTACTTACTTACTTACTTACTTACACCTGTTACTCCCAGTGGGGCATACACTGCCAACTGATATTCTCCAACCCACTCTGTTCTGGATCTTTCTTTCTAGTTCTATCCAATTATTGTTCATTTTTCTCATGCCTGTCTCTATTTCTCAGTGTAATTTGTTTTTTGATATGCCTCTTCTCCTTTGGCTTTGAAGATTCTCATTTTACTAAGAATGAGTTGTTTTGTAATCGCTTTCGTTTTTATGTAACATTCTATCTTGGATTTTTTTGATTGAGATCATGGATTAATCAATGTTAGACAACTATCGTAGTAAGGGACTGGTGAATAGTGCGCATCGATGATCCCTCACGTGGGACTTGAACTTAACCTATAGACCACTGAGCCTACATTTACCCGTATAAATGTCTAACTTCCACCATTCCATCATATTGCACCACTGTCCACCATTATATTCAGTCAGTAATTGTCTCATAACAGACAATGATCACGGCTTCTCATCATATTAACTCCATCAAATTCATCTTCGTGCTAACCACTAGTGAGCCAATCATAATTATCAGTATAGGATTGTTGAGATTGTTGAGTTTAGATTGATATCATCAATGGATGAATGTTAGATCACGATTGAAAATCTGAAAGCAGTGGACGATAAACTTTTCCTAGTATAGAACTGGTAAACATCAAGCATTGATGATCCTACATGTAGGACTCGAATTAGAGATCTTAAATCTCACGTATAAACGCTTAATCTCTAAACCAACAATGTCAATGTCTAATTTCAATCAATCAATCAATCAATCAATGATGGTCTAACATTGATCGATTCACGATCTCAATAAAAACAACAACAAAAAAAACATACTTAACAATCACCACAATCCCAAGCCGAAAACTTTTGGGATCTTACTACTTTTATCTGTACAAATCTATTCACATTAGAAGATACATCGTTTTTTCTTCCATTTTCTTCTTCTTCTTCTTCTTCTTCTTCTTCTTCTTCGAATTTTCTCATTTATCATATTCTACATTCGGAATGAAAATACAATGAATTATTATTATGATTCCCCCTGAATATTCTCTCCAAAGACACTTACTATGGATGTATATATATATATCCCTAATCTTATTTACAATTCAAATAGAATCCAACTGATCACTATACTCTATTCATATTAGAAATATTTCAATGATGATTAATATGTTTATAAAAATCGATATTTCGACAGAGTTATATGTTGTCATAGCAACTATTGAAAATTAAAATCAAATTTTATTTAGATAATTCCACAGATTGAAGTCATGAGTCAGCTGAAGCTAGACTACCATTGGAAACCTGGAAGCACTGGACGACCCTTTATTCCTAGTATGGGACTCCACAGCAGTACGCATCCACGATCCCGCACCACGCGGGGCTCGAACCCAGGACCTACTAGCTTCACGCGCGAGCACTTAACCACTAGACCACTAAGCCGGCATCCAATGGTGTTAATGTCTAACTTCAACCAATCCACGATAAATTGTATTCAAATCAATATTGAACGATATAAACCACTAAAATAAAAAGAACTTATACAATGATGATTAATTATGTATCTTTGCATTGTTATTTAGAACTGTAATTGATCAGTCTCATGTTAGGATATCTGTATCTTGTACGGATTGTGTCGATATTGTCTTCAGGCAAAAAATGGATAGTGACTATCAGTGGAATCCAGTTTGATGCGTGTACAGTCCTATTCGGGATCATTCTGCCAAAAAGTGATTGGATGAAATATCTTCGGCTCTTTCTAAGCTTCTTAAAGATTCCTTGAGTTTACCCATTGACCATCCTCACAGTGTTTTATTCAGATATCATTCTACTAAAACAATGCTTTAAATAAACAGTTATATTTTATTATCAGAATGGGGGATTTGTGGAGATTGTAGTAATTTTAATAGTTGAATTCATGTGTCGATCGAAGCCGTGAACAGTAGAGTTCAATCTATCTCAGACAATAGATAGAGGATTGCACAAGATCGTAAATCGATTGAAGTTAATCAATAACACCGTTGTATGTTAATTCAATAGCTTACATAGTTATGCGTTCACACACGAAACTTACAGTTCTGAATTCCAATTCCATGTGCAGGATCGTAGATGCACACCTTTGAGGAGTCCTATACTATGACGATATTATTTATTATTATTGTTTAAACACATAAATCGTTCGATATATGTGAGGGCTGAGATAATGCCTGGGTGCCCAAACCGAAGACGGTGGTTTTCTTGGGGGGATGGTCACACCCAGAGTCTTTGACCTAAAGATGTGATCCATAAGGCAATAGAGCAACGTCGGAAGTTCCAGTTCAATGTTAGTGGGTGACCAATAGTTGATTTATACACCATTCGTTCCTTCAGGATACTGGAGTACATGTACACCATTGGTTTAGGATGAGGGTTTTCCAACTCCTCTATGTACATTCTCCATTTCCAACAACCCAGTTAAAGCCCCTACCGGACATTTGTTTTTCATCCTCTCAATTTCTTAAACAACAGTAATCCCTCGAGAAGGCAGTTAGTAGTAGTAGTAGTAGTAGTAGCATCTCGTTGGCGGTGGTTAAATGTACGTAGCTATGTGAGAGCATTTGGGGAGAGAGAGAGAGAGGGAGCATCTAAAAGGCTACTCAAACGAAATATCTCTCACCAATAGCTCCAAATTTTCAATAATCGTCTAGTTTAAATCAACTCATGAATTCAACTATTCATATAACATTTTAAATCAAACGATATTAGACAACTAAATACTCTAG